GGATAGTGCCATTTTAAAGGCAACGAAAACGCGCGATTGAGTCATTGTCAGCGCTGGTGGTCCAAATAAGGCCTTTCTTCTCTTATTTGGAGCTTATTCAAAGCTCTCGTAGGTTTAAATTTGCCGCTTCAGCGGTTACAATAGCTAATGATATCCACTCATTCAGCGCCATGGCAACGCCCTAGAGAAATGAACTTCCCCTTGTTTTAGCTTGATTTTAGGGCTACGGGACTATATATTATCCAAAGTTAGGTTAACTTTACGATCAGCTACTTTTTAAGCGGGAAATTTTTTTTCATGCAAAAGCCTCAGGTTCTTACAGGTGCGAATATGTCGGAAGGCACTTGAATACCAAATAGTTAGCGCAGATTTCCGATCTATTTTCCGTCCGTCACTCCTTAATAAATGCCATTTAATTGAACGACCATGCAGATTTATCCCCTCAATAACTTCAAATTTAATTCAGTTTTTATGTTTATCTTTGATTTTGTTAAGTGTCCAAATATTCAGTGCCTATAGTTGTGTTTGGAGTAGTCAAGATAAGGGTGTAATTTGAAATTTTTTTTATTCTCCTTTTTTAAGCAAAATAATAGGTAATTAAACCCGCTTTTCTGCATACCAAGCTGTGACAGAAAGGTTATTGACGAAGATTAATTGTCGCTTTATTTTTCCGCCTCGAGACGGCTAACCTTACACCGAGATTATGACAACAGTAAGCAGACTACGTTTGAACCCGCTTTGACTTCAGTTTATTTGACAAACTGTACCGTGCTAGAGCTACCATAACGATACAAGAATGAATTGGGTCATAGTTGGTGATATAATCCTTATTTTCTTGTACGCCATAAAGAACAGCTATGCAGGTAGGTACTTGTTAGAATTTGCTACTTACTCAGCCCTACTTACTGGGGAGTCAAATATGATTGAGCAACAACTAGGCTATAACTGTCTTTTTATTGATCAAGACTGTTCTATAGGGGAATGGAATTCAATCATCGCCATTAGCACAGAAAAAACTGTTATATGAACTGAATTGAGTGAGCACAAATATAGACGAATCTCGTCTCTCAGTGTTAGAATGGAAATGTGCTAATGCTATCACAAATCAATACTGGTCATGGCGGTTGGCTATTTTGTCTAAAAAGAATGGATTGCTTGAGTATGTAGGAGTCAAAACTAATTGATCTCTTTATACGAATCCACTGATTATCCAAAACGGCTTTGTAAACGGCAGTAATCTTTTAATAGTATCACTCGTAAGTTATTTAATGGAGGAAGCTTCTCTCCATCGTTTGATAAGGTAAATACTAAAGACAATAAACTAAATTTGCTTGCGGAAGGTTTTGAATCAAATTCGTACTAACTGCCAATTTTCTTAGCGGCAAAACAGCCACTGTCCGAGAGGACTTACTCATTCTTAGGAACTGACCAATCTGATGCAATCAAGTGTCATGGCTTCCTTGCTCAAGTCCGTGATGGCGAAGTTATAACCCGGTCGGTTTATCGCGTTTGAATAACCGAGATTATTTTCATCAGAAGTAATAATAATGCTTAAAACTAACATGTCGAGCATCCCTATAATATGGTTACAGAAATTTTTTTCTGATTTACTATCAAAAGTTTCTGCGTGAAAGCGCTCTTCCTTTGCTAACAATCATAAGGATTAGGTTCCGATTAGTCACCTTGTTAGAGCAGCTCTGAAGTCAATCTACTTGTCAACCCCAAAGTACTAGGAACATTTTCCCAAATCGTTATTTCTTTACTGTTCCAAAGAGTTTCAGTTTACAATTTCTTGGTAAGATTTGGATTGATACCAGCCATAGCTGAACACTACGCTGTTTTATTTCGATTACTGTCAATATGAAAAAAAATACTTTCTTATTCGACAGATCCCAAAATGGCTTTTTGGTTGACGCTCGAAAGAGAACTGGGGCGTCATAATGATTATGCCTTACACCGGTGAAAAAAAGTGGATTGTTATATTCTGATCCACGACTCTTTTCATGATTAAAATGTACGTTTCGTGCAAAAAAAGGACATTTCATCAAGTCTAATAGCGTGTTCTGAGTTTAGGTGATAAGCGAGGAACTTAAGGGCGGCTGTTAACTTGAAATTCCCAAAAGATTAATGATCTGTAAATTTGGACAATTTCTGGCTCAGCTGTAGACGGTAAAAACACAACCGGAAACCAACTCGAGGCTTGCTGTCAAACGAAAAATTAATGATTATTAATTACTGTCATCGGTTGACCTCTAAACATCAAAGAAGAACCGAGAGGAGATAGGCAGAAACGATAGAGCCAGGCATGGCTAAGTGGATGGTTCAACAACTTCTTCAATGGATTCATCTCTATGTCTTGTCAAAAACAACATGACCGAAGGAAAAACAAACTACAGCGTTTCTTTATTCGGCCAGAATAAAGAAATCACGAATTAAATCTCTCAAGTAATCAATTTCACTTTAAAATTAAAAAAACGTTTGGGGGCTATAATTCTCGTTGACTAGGAGGATCCCCACACAACTTTACAACAGGCTTTCCTTTTTGTTCAATTCTTCTTTTTTTTTTCTGACATCAGAACTCAGTTTGTCGGACAGTAATACTTAGTTTTGATTACAGGCAGTTTTAATGTTTCTTTTTTCTTTACATGACAGCTATTTGCTTATTTTCATTTCATTTTCATTTCATTTTTTTGTTTGCGTTTAAAAGGTAATTCTGGTCTTTGCAGTAATATATTCTTACTGAGCACCGCTGTCATGTTTAGGTTAGGTATGCGTAGTGGTTTTTAATGTCTTTATAGGGTGAATCCACCTTTTGATATGCAAACAGTGAATCCTTTTTCAGTGTTCGTCAGCCTGAGAGAATAAAGTGTTAGTTTGTTACATTGGGATAAACCTTTGAAATGAAAATAAAAGCAATTAAAAGGTGGATTCATTTGCAACATACGCGTATAGCTGTCGCATTTGCCCACGGGAATTTTTTATTGTTTTCGTTCCAGCAGGCCAATGCGACAGCTATATACGCGTGTGTTGCAAATGAATCCCCCCAAAATAACATCATTTACATGCATGTTCTCCACCGAAGTTCCAGGCGCTTCACCGGGTCTGCAATGAGAAATCGAAAATTTGCTTCGCTGGAATAGGCCAACCATGTTTTTTTTTAATCTGCCACTGACCCAAAGGCTAGAGCTACAGTTTCCATTCCATTGCTTAAAAAGTTCTGCGTTAGCATCTCAATTTTGAAGTGCATTTTTAAGTTGTTCATGTTAATAACTATTTTCAGGATGGCGGCATTAGACAACAACGACCAGAATTCCTCATGATTTTGTAGCTTTTGTTCCTGGAATCACTGGGATAAAAGGGGAAAAGAATTCTACTAGTGGTACTTCTATCAATGGATACATTCTTTAAAATGTCCAGCCCAACATGAATGCTGTTTCTGCATTACCAACAATAGTTTCTTGGGTGATGAAGTCAATTGAAATCTTGATTTTTTTTCTATGCAGTGAATAGCTTTTCTGGCTTCAATATTTTCTTGTTCTTTGGGTTCAATATTGTTTAAGCAGAAAGCAAAAACACACACTATCTACATGTAGTTTGTGTCCGTGACGTAGGTTTTCTGTGGGTTGGCTAGAAGTATAATTGTGTCTTATCAAAATCTAGTTATTTGTTTTACAAATCTAACTGAATTTGTGAAGAGAAGAAAATATCGGCTACTGATTCATAAGTCAATCGTTTTTCATCTTCACTGAACAGAATACAATATTCTTTGTGATTTCCTCTCTTACTAGACTGCAATATTGGCTTGGGAATGATCTCAGGTGGCATCCGGGACCCTCAGATCACTGCATCCTCTTCGTACTCGATGTGGACTCAACCTTCTGCAGGGAGACTATGGAACAACATGTAAGGCTGCGTCAGTTCACTCGGCACCGGACAAATTTTTCGACCGGTTGAAAATTCGTGCGTTTGAGATGTTCCGTGTGCCCTGACCGTACGAAAATTTAGACGCCTAGCCGTTCAAAGTTCCGTGTGAACAGGGCGAAAATATTGAACGGTCCCGAGTGAACGAAGTGACCGGTTATAAATTTTTTAGCCGGTCTATAATTCTTTCGGTTGCAGTGTGAACGTATCTTAAGACACCTCTGAACAGTTCGCAGATGTTATAAGGCTTTTGTTTGTTCAGATTCAGACCTTTCAACGATTTGTTTTCTCGTTGGGTGCCCCTGATCTAAAGAAAGTGCGTCCTGCATGAACGCTTTTATTGAAAGATTCAAAACAACGGTGCGATATACAAACCCAAACGTTCATAGCGACGGAAAAATTTGTGAATAACATTCAGTTGAACACGAGCAACGTTATCAGTTCTACCATAGGATATTTCGAAAGAACTATTACCGTCAAACCAAATATCCCTCCTTATAATCTGAAATCTGAACACAGGATAATATGTTAACATCTGCCCAGCCAATTAGAGCCAAAAATAGTACAAGGGTTATAACATGTAGGTCATTAGAGCCACAGCAAAACATGGTCGCTGACTGATTGCAAATTTTAGGGACTGTAGGGAGCGATTTGCTGGGGGCGGGGATTCTAAAATATTGCCTGGGTCAAGTTAAGATTTGAAGCTCATTTTATCAAGCTGGTACGAATTATTTTTTTTGGAGGTCATTATGACAATTAAACAAAACTTATCTCAGATTTTTCTTTCAGTTCCTCCTAAGCAAAACAGCAAAAACACAAACAAAACATGGATAGAAAAAACTTTTTTTCCAAAAAGGAAATGTGTACCAGCATGTCAAAAAATTAAACGTGGGACATTTTACCGCAAAATTTTAGCCACAGAGGAACCTGTGGTTAATCCTGGTCATTTTCACAGTAAAACTCTTAGTAGCCACACTAAAGAAGTTTGGGTTGCCTGTGCTTGAGCTTGGGTTATCAGTGTGGAATCATCACAGTTGGGTAGCGGTTGATAAACGGAGTTTGTTCGTTCTAAAGGTTTTATTTTTTTGTTTTTAAGGCGATTACATGAGAGTACCCTAGGTGGCTGGTGTGCTATGGAAGAAGATGATGATCCATATTTACAGATTGATCTTGGAAAACAGAAAGTTATCACAGCAGTAGCTACTCAGGGATTAAATAACCCACAGGGTAACTGGGTAGAAAGGTACTCTTTAAACTACAGCTGCGATGGAATCAACTGGAAAACATATCAATCATTTGCCAAAGATGAGGTAAATGCTAACTACAAGTTATGAGTTGTTTTGATTAAAAGTAAGACTAAATCGGTTAAAGTTACCCTTGTTTACCAGAAGTTCTGCGGAAGTTCATAGTTTCAGCACCAAAGCAACCAAAAGTTGAAAATAGAAAGCGAAAAATCATAAAAGGTTCTAGATCCTTTCGTCTTGAGAATTAATGTAAATTTGCAATCTCTCTGTGATTTTCGAATCATCTCAGAGGAGAAAATGATGATAAGCAACTTTTAGTCTAATAACACTAATTCCTTTAGCAAGTGTTGGTGTCAGAGCTGGAATACGAATACGAATACGGGAAGATACAGTTTGAACATGTTTGAAAATAAACTAAGTGAAGAAAATGAAAATGACCCCTGGAATTAGGGCGGGTAAGCCTTTAAAAGAAAAATATGTTATTTCCGTGTATTTTTCATGTATAAAAGGGGAAATAACTTCTAGTAAATTTCCATTTTGCAAGCAGATGATAAACGAGCAAGCCAGGTCTGGATTTTTAGTCATTGCTTGTTTATATTTTTTAATTTTCTTTATGTGGCTACGGAAATAATTTGCATCGAGGTTACGAACGGTTATAAGTGATGAATCTCGAGGAAGACTAGATATTCTTATGTGATTGGCTGCTCTACTATGTCAACAATTTTTGCAGATTTCTGAATGGAGGTGCGAAGATATCGACGCATGGTTATTATCGGGTATAAGGTGGTGCTCTAGAAGTTTTCTTTTGACTTTAAAACAAAGTTGGACACGACGGTAGCCTGCGTAGCAGGTGCTTGCCAACGTGACAGTCATTGACAAATAATTTTGCAGTTGAATGATAAGCCAGCTAGGGGTTATCTTCAAAGAGCGAAACACATTTTACATCCATATGGTTCCAGTTTTCTTTCGCCTCAACGGACAGATGTGACTCATGGTCAAATTATCAGCTTATAAAATTATTTACCTTAGCGAGCAGAGATTTTTGCCACAACGTTTAAATTTAATGCTTCAACGGGCGAAAAATACTTTGATTAATTTCATCTGGTACCGAAAAGCTGGTTTGCTTCGCATCTTTCCTCTCTTTTCTCCCGAGACCAACAAGCTAGGGTGGACAGTTTACCCCAGCAGAATAGAAAAAACTCCATGAAGGAGGATTTGATCGATATAATCATCGCAACTTCATTTATTCGCGAATCGGCAAATAGAGCAGCCAAACGCATATCAGGCTGAATCTCTAGTCCCCCTCGAGAATCATCCCCAAAATGCTCTAAGAAAACCAATCGACTGAGCATGCTTCTGATCTTAAATCCGACAAATTTTGGCGACTTTTTCCCACTATAGTAGAGAAAAATGTGTGCTGGCTTGCATAAATAAGGCTCGCCAGCAATTAAAAACCTACTCTCAAAGGAGATGTTTACTCTGAGACAACACTTTAGCTATTTACTTCATTATTGTTAGCATTTACTTACTGACTGACTGACTGACCACCTCACTTATTTACTTACTGAGATAATAAATTACTTTAAATAGAGAATATTAATTAAAGAAGAGAGTTTTAAAAAGTATCCTTTAAAAAAATCCTATTATTCCTCCCATGTACGTAATAAACAGTTTTTTTTTGTTTACTTAGGTTTTGAAGGGTAACACCGATGGTGACACAGTTGTAAGCAATAAACTGGACGAGGCCATTATAGCTCGAGAAATAAGAATAAAAGCACTTCAGTGGAATATGTACGGCATGGTCTGCATGAGAGTAGAAATCTATGGCTGCGATACAGACAAAGGTATTGAACAATCGTAGCCAATATTAAGCAAGTTAGAGAAAGCATAGCAAGGTCGTCATCTTAAAAAACTCTCTATTTGGCAGCCAGCGGATACCAGTTTCAGTGAGTTGAAAGGGCAAGGTAGGCTGTCACCGTCAGACTGGCCTTTTCCGCTGCCTCATTCGATAGCAACACAATCAAAAGGTCTGCTAGTAGTGTAGCTTTAAATTGAAAGAAATGTCAGCCAGGATAACGCCTGGATTAATCCGCCATGATGAGATGATTCGTTCCAATTCGTCTATCACACTTCTAAATATTTGGACGAAATCCAATGGTGACTTGTTACCATTCATATGAAACCTCTTTGGTAGAACTTTTGCTTAGTACTGTATATTTATTTTGGGTTTACAGAAAAAACTGAGAGTTTTTAGTGAATTTTCACTTCGGTTTCTGTTAGGGGTAAGAGGGTTAGAGGTTGAATTATTTCAGCCCAAGTTTTACACAAATGCGTAAAACCCGTCGCTGAAGTCTCCTGAATGAGCGCATATTAATGTAATGAGACTTACGTGTTTATCACAATGCAACCATGAAAGACATTTTTACCTAAGTTTATTTAAGTCCTAAAGTTGTAATATTTTCTGATCGACACCTTACAGATGGCCGCTTTGAAGACTGTAGCACAGCTGCGGGAATGGAGAACAGACAGATAACTAATAGACAAGTGACTGCGTCCTCTTTTGCCAGCGGTCATCACCCATCACGAGGTCGACTTAATAATGAGATTCAACATGTCAATGGTACTGTGTTATTAGGCAGCTGGTGTGCGGCAACCCAAGATACCTCACAATACATACAGGTATAGACCTCTTGTACTACACAATGAAACGAGGTGCAGCCTTGGGTGGGTAATTTTATACAGATCACTTGGGCCAGGTATGGTCCACCATTAAAACTTATCTTGAAGCTACTTTCACTACAATTGTCTTGGCAAGACGTCATGTCTCCTGACTTTATCGTTTAATACCGGTACTTTCATAATTCTGGGCCTGCTGTAAGTGGACCTTACACTTGAAACGCCTGACTGCGATTGTCACATAACTCACGGGAAGATATAAGAAAAAGGCTAGATGAGAAATGTATCATTTCTGTTTCAGGTTGATCTTGCAGCGTCGCGAAACATCTCTGGAGTCGCCACTCAAGGATCTGTGATGGGGACCTGGGTAACAGAATATACTCTTAACTACAGTATGGATGGGTTGCATTGGAATACTTACTGCAATCAGACTGACGGCAAAATAAAGGTGGGAGTTACTATCCAAAAAAGATGATTAGTTAAAGGCCATTGTACCAAAAATAGAACAAAAGCGATACAACCAGAGGAAATTTGGGTGTTTCTTAATGTTGCTGAATCTATTGTTGGTTAGGTATTGTTTTGTGGTGCGAGTATTGTTTAGTGTCTTTTCAGTCTTCTGTATTACGTCATGTGTTGATCGAACCGGCTGAGCACGCAACACTAGGCAGAAGTCTTCAGTCCGCAAGAGTTAGAAGCAGAATAAAATACTTTAACTTCGTTGTGATTTACAAGTCTTAACTTGATCATTATTCATTCACTTTGCCTATCTTCAGCTGTATTATATATAGGAAAACCTGCAAAAAAATGAACCGAACCTCCAGTCTGAAAACTTGCCATTGAAATATGTATGGCGCTCCACTGCGCGCCCTACGCGCGCGCGGACGCTCCGCTACCAATATAGACAGTCCCTGTAGTGGTAGATAACTTGATGGTTATTTTACAGATTCTCCAGGGGAACGTGGATACCCTTACGGTCCATAAGAATATGTTCGACTGGCGAATCAATGCTCGTTATATTCGCATTAACCCAAGGGCGTGGACACCAACCGGACAAATTTGCATGAGAGTGGAAATATACTTCTGCCACAATTACCAAGGTGAGTGACTCCATAAAAAACTAAGCATTACCCTAACTTCTGCAACTGAACAAATGTGAACAACATGGCAAAAAAAGAATAGGCAGGGGAGTAGCGGTGTTGTGCCGAAAATACTGCTTCCCTCGCCGGAGAAAACAGCCGACATTTCTAGACGCTACCACTGGCTGACGTCTGAGAAACAAGCGCAGAAATTCCATACTGATGACGCGACATTACTCAGCTCCATTAAGTGCTTCTGATTAGTTGAAGACAATTTCCCACACTGCATGACCAGTCAGAAGCACTACCCAAATCAAGGCAGAGTCACGTCATCAGTATGGAATTTCCGCGCTCGTTTTTGTCAGAGGTCAATTCCCGGGGAAACCAGTGCTGGCGTCGCGGAATGTCGGCTGTTTCCTCAGACTACTGCTACCCCAACAAACTGTCACCAAAACGCTACAAGGAGAGAACTAACAAATGTGAAGACTGAGCGCGCATTTCTGCCTTCTGAGGACTTAAAAGTACTACCTGGGAAGCAAAATTTCCTGCTTATATATTGCCACAAATCGATTACAGAAACACTGAACGCCTCTTAGATGGCAAAAAGGTTTGCTTGTGCAACGAACTGCATTGGAACATTATAGTACTGATAAGCGCTTGGCTTGAAGAAAAATGGGCGCCACATCTTTCAAAACGCGCGTACGCTGCACCACCTGTCTACTCCGAACTAACAGGCAGCCGATCAATACCTGAACATTAGTACCAGCACTGTATAGCTTCGAGGATACATTTTACCATTCTTATCTACACTTTTGGGGCAGTGAAATAAATCTTAGCGTCGCAAGTAACGTCTAACTCAATACCACGTTAACGATCGAAGTTAAGTTTTACGTAACTTAAAAGATAAACAGAAGCGAGGGAAAAACCAACTCTCCTCATTACACTAGTTTTTACAGCCCTGTTTTAACGTCTTTGCATGAAGTAACGCTTATGATATGTTTGCTTACAATAAGCCCTACGAAATGTATTCCTGAATTTGAACCTTTCTCGATGTTGTAGGATGCCCAACGCCCAACAGGATTCAAAGCACCTCAACAACAATGACATCACAACAAATAACGTCTGCTGCACAGGACTTAACAAAGCCGACCAAAATAAACAGACTGTCACCTGGCAGCAAGTCCGTTGTAAACAACGCATGGGAACTTTACTCATCTGGGGACAAAAATCGGGTGCGGTCCATTTCGTGGAAAGCTACTGTGGTTGGATGGTATATTTTGTGGAATCTACGTCTATAATTATAATTATTACAAAAACATTCAAGAGATGAATGGCGAAGGAGCAAAACCAAACGGACGAGGTTGAGCCACTATGCTAATTGGAAGTCTGCTTCGTCGCCAGACGGGATCCACTTGACGTCGTCACTGAATGTTTCCCTTTCATAAACGGTCGTTGCCATTTTGATCGATCAATTCCACCATTGGTAACCATGCTTTTAGCCATGAAAGATGAAATATATTCCCTGAATTAAGTTACAAAAAGGCAAATAACACGTTCTTATATAGTTTTAGATAGAACGACGTTGCCGAAAGCCCAAGTTGGATTTACGTTTAAAATTGAGGAAAGGGCTAAGGTTACCTGTAATGCTGTATTGGTTAAGAAAGCCAGTTTGCTAGGTTATGTAATTAAATTTTTCGGAATTTAAGCGGGTCGGTGTAGTAGGGTGGTGGAAAGGGAGAGCCGAAAGGTCCGGCTTCGATCCTGGGTTGCGATATTCTTTCTTTTCAATAGAAACAACTCTCAATAACAGGTCATTATTTTACTACGTGTCTTAAAAATGGCAGTGACCGTTTACGAAAGGGAAACTTGCCTCGTCAACCTGCGGCATTCACACCTTGGAAAGTAATAAATTATCACATGTTGGGCAACTATTCACAATCCCAGCTTGTGTTTCCCATCAAAAACGCAAAGGCTAAAAGCAAATTACGTAAAGATCACGGATAATCTTGTTCAAAATGTACTACAAAAATACACTTAAAAAATTCAAAAATAGGTATGTTACTTTCCACTTAGCCATTTACAATTGTTAGAAAAGGGTTTCAAGAGCAAGCATTGTACGTTTGAACAGTAGCTGTAAAATATATAAATTCTCAGTGTTTCCTGCTTACTAATAAGATTTACCACAATGCAGCGAGTTCTCGCCTTAAGAACTGTTTCACATTAAATAAGCATAAATATAATATTTGTACATTTACACTGACAATAAATGTGACATAAATAATTACAGCGAAACTGTTCGAGAGGTTTTCTATTTCATAAATATCTTTCTACCAGAAGAAACTGGGAGAGCTATAGCCTTGTGATCTAGCTATTTCGGACATACGGTGAAAAGCGCCCAAAATTTATCAGTAACGGACACGATATGACTTCGAATTTACTGTATAATTGGAAAATACTAACGAACGTATTTCTTTTTAGTGCGTAACGAAAGCCACGTAATGGTAATGAAAAAATGCGTTTTTTACAGGATATGAGTACTTTTGTTCACAATCCTTTTTCCATGTTTCTACGAACTGATCATTTTAAAGTCCAGTTAAAATGATTACTGCATATTTACACTACCGCGCTACCTACTAGCTATACACAAAGAGCTTTTTATTTTGCCTTTAACTTCATATTGGATCATATTTGATATTAGTCTAACTAATCTGTACTTATCCCAAGTTTAGAAATACTCTGTTTTTACAACAGCAATCGCAGGATCCTTCATGTAATCCTTGGCAAACTTAATAATCTGCTGGGAGTTGATCTGGTCGAGTCGTGTCTGGACTCTAGTCCCCAGTGCCTGCAGTTCCTCGACAGGAGGGTAAAACGCGGCATGTTGATGATCATCAGGTCTGATAATACACAGGCGGGGATAGTGATATAATACGGGAACTTGATCGGCTTGTCTCCCTAAATGACAAGCAAACGACCGTAAATTACTTAAAGAAAGACTTTCAACAAAACAAAACGTTTTTAAGGGGTATTGTGGAGAGCTGAAGAGTATTTTTTTAAAAACAATACGTATATCTCGCTAGCAAAAAAAAATTGAACAACTGGCAATGTCAATGGCCAGGTTGATGAAAAGGAAAGGGGAAAAAACGAAAAGGTAAAACAGTTGAAGTAAAATGGAAAAAGAAGATATACCGAACAAAGCCCACCCCCTCTCCCCTCCCTCTCCCACAATCAGAAACCGAATTATTTGGAACCATGTAAATGAGATATCACACAACAACCAGTATTCCTACTGAGCTACGAAGAGAATGGCAGACCGCAGGCGATATGTCTCTTAAAAAGGGGGAATTATTTAAGAACAAATAATTGAACATTTACTCGGCGGATACCTAATATTCAAGTGCCTTGGCTAAGTTGGAAAAATCTAGACTCTTGTCCGCCGTTTTTTAGGCATAGTTACCGTATGCGTGTTTAGCGTGGTAATCCTTGGGTACAAATCTGCTGGCCCAGTGCGTAAATTCATCGATATCCAGAGTAACTACAACCATTTCACGGTAAAGAGCGTAAGCTGACTCAGTGAGCTCCTGTAAAGAAAACACAGTATAACACAGTTATGAGCACGTGTCAGTTGTCTCCTTGGAAATAAGACTGTTCCATTAAAGTAATTACCTTGCTAAGGATTTAATGAAATCAAATGTGGTCGTTTGAGTAAAGGTACAGAGAAAACCAATGGCGACCTTGAAAACGCAACTTAATCCGGAGAGTTGCTACTCTCCCTACAATAGATGTCACAAGTGCTGGGACACTTAACGTGGTATAGTGGTATAAGAAAAACTAGCAACTCTCACATCCTTTCCCTGTTGAATTTCGAGCAAGAAGGTAGCCTGTGCCAGGCTCTCAGATAGTATAGTGGGAACGTATTAAAACGAGCAAAGCGAAAATAAGACGCACGACTTGAGAAAGGGGGCGGTGGTGGCGTTTTTCGCATTTCTTATTACTGAACGACTTTTCACCACCATCTCGGAGCCTGGAACAGGCTAGCAAGAAGGATGCTAGGAGGTTGTCTTTTCGCACAACATTGCTGGGGAAGGGGTGGGGGGAGGGGGTGGGTCATGAGATGAACCCGAAGCCAATGGGAGTAGAGTCCTAAGCGTACTAGCCTGCGAGCAAGCTCTCCTATTTGGGCGAACGAAGAGAGCCGCGCGAGGGCAACCCCCCACCACCCCCACCCCGCGCTTTCGCGTCTCCTCTCGCGTGCCTCTTGCTCGTCCAGTTTTCACTTTATCCCCCAAATGGAGAGCTTGCTCGCAGGATATAAGGGTACTGAGTTTCTTGCCTAAGCAACAACAAAACATTCTTAACTACCACCAACGCCCTTACAATCAGAATCAGAATTGCACTACCCTCCTTCCACATCTCATAGAGTAAGACTTCAAATTTCTTTCTACATATTCGTCCACTTAAAAAAGAATGTTTTGTTTTTATGCGGCGCGAGTGAGTGTCCGCTTGGAACAAGTTTTGTTTATAAAACATTGTAAGTAAACTATTGTCCTGTGATTGAGACCTGTAACATTCTGCGCAAGCAGACTTTTTTTCTCGTAGTACTTACACAGCACCTGAATCTCGTTCCCAGGATCTCACTTTTTCCCGTCCCTGGAGCAAGCCGGGAGAGATCGAGGACAGGAATAATGTAAATGTAAACTGTTGACCCGTCGGAAGGTGTTCGCGCGTTCCAGAGCGAGTTGGAATTTGTGAAGTGATGGTTTTGGGAGACGGAAAAGGTGGAGTACCGAGAGAAAAAACGTCTTAGAGCAAGAGAAAACTAACAAACTCCACCCGTATATAGCGTGACGGCGGGACTTGACGCCGGGCCACTTTACTGAGAGGCGAGAACTTTCTGTTCACTTCTGCGCCATTCTTGCCCCCAATGAAGAACCGGCCAGCCAGACCGGTCTCATTATTCCACTTCTAATCCCGACTATCCAGCCAGACCAGTCTATTCTTAAATGGTATGTTCTGCAGTGATGGGATTTAGAGAAATTACCAATGAAAGTCTAACATTTTATTTCCAAAATGACTGGTCTGGCTGGCCAGTTCTGAGAGGGCCCTCTGAGAGTGAGATTACATTTACCAGTCGTCATTTTCCTCTCGTTTGTACCTTTAAAAAGAAACTATCCTTGGTGACGTTATCCCTGTGCGTCAAGGCAATCAAAATGGGTAAGTTGTGCGCAAATGGTTCAAAGCTGGCATCCTCTTCAGAGCTAAAATGAATTAAAACAATTCTTCAAAAAAAGGTTAAAGGTTTGTTAATAGTGGAAATGCGCTAAGCGTTTAGTTTACAGGTACTACACTCAAATAGGTAGAAACAAATAATCCAAACAGAACATAACAGGATTAAAAAACGCCAACTGACAGGAGGCAAATAGGTTGCTATTTACAAGCGTGGCCAAGGATTTGAACTCAAGACGACAGAGAACAAGTGGTCAGAGAGATAGAACCACGTTATATACTCAAGGATAAACAATTGTTGGTAGCAGTGTCGTGAAATCTTTTGGCTTTTAGAAAAAGCCAACGATATCAACATAATGACTGAAAAGTCGCATGGGGTGTAAAAAATAACCCTCAATTCTATTAACAATCCTTTACCCTTTAGCATATAACATGGCACTATCCACACACTGTTGGGTCCGTAGATAATAATAAAACATAATTGCAATAAATTGATCGCTTTTAGTCAATGCTTTTTTTGGCTTTAACTGTCCAATTCATTAGTACGATTTTGAAATGAGAACTGTTGGAAAACAGGGAGTTAGTATCAAAGATGAGCTAATCAACGGAATATTTGATGAACTAACCCTAATTTGGTATGAAAAGCAGCTGATGTCATGTGTAGGACTGGCAGTCGGCGATGATCATGAACAAAGCGCACAGCTATATCAGTGCATTTCTTGTGATCTTGCTCACATTTGAAATTCTTCGGCAAGTCATACCTGAAATGTCAAGTCATAGCAAATTAAAAGATCCGCACAGCTAAACAATTTCACAAAAGAACACAATTGAGCACGAATGAAGAATGAACCCTCGGAAATTGGAGGGCGAAAGGATCTCCAATTTCTTCGGCCGCAAATGGTTACTTCGCCAACTACGGGGCAGAGCTGTATTGCCGGTATTTTTTTCACACGGTTTAACAAACTAGAGAAGACTCACTTGTGTACATCGTGAAACATGTGTAGTTTAGAGTCCCTCTGATTGTTGATAGTGTATTCCACATTACGGCCCATTTGGAATACCTTGACCCGGACACCATCACTTCTTTGAAGTTCAAGCTACAGACATAGGCGGGACAAATTAATATAAATAAATCAATATACATCAATTTCAAATACGCGATAGATACCGCGGAATTACACTGAAGATCTCATTCCATTCCCATTCACCTTCTTACTGCTGAGGTAACAGGCAAGACAGAAGTAAGGTCACGCGAGAGCCACAGCAATCCCAGCCAGTACTTATTAAATAAATTTAGAATTAAGCTTACCCCGAGAGACAAACCCAACCAACCAGCAAGACCAGCCAGTACTTATTTAAGAGATTTAGAGTCAAGTTTACCCCAAACGACAAACGTCAATTTGTACCTCGTGATCAACTTTTCCCGTTCGTATACTTTTTATTACATCTACGCAAAAATAAGTAGTTTCATGTCACCCTCATAAATATCTGTAAAACTTCCTAATCAGAGAAATTGTCAAATTTAAATCTGCCGTTTGCTGTCTGCCGTAAACCAGGTTCTAAATCTAGTTGTTGTCAACCCTGTTGAATGAAGCAATTAGGAGTAGTGGTTTTTTCTTCTCAGCCCTGCATGGGTGGGATGATAGTTAATTACATTGTTACTAAAAACGTATCTGCACTAAACAACTAAGATAACTGGAAGCAAAAAAGTTTCTTGCCGCAGAAACCAACTGGCAACGGGTTGGAAGAAAGGAGGCCTCTAACCAAAAATGGGAAAAATGGGAGAGTTCTAATAAAGGGACACGGCTTAGATATAAGACGGCAGTCAAATCTGATACATTAACTCAATGACAAACGTCACTCAAACGTGCACAATGTACAAAATACTTAGGACAAAATGAAAATCAAATACTTCAAAATAAGCCCATACCGTACCTGTATAGCCTCAGGGGGGCGCAATCATTCCAGTCTCCTTTGTTGCACGTTAATATGACAGAAATGAATTAAGAGTTTGGGTCGGCAACTTGCGCTAAAACGTACTATTTCTTGAAAACTGAAGAATCGTTAAACCTCGAATGCCAGAAAAAAAGCGTTATTATGGCTGATGTGAGGACTGTTTTGTTCGCACAAGAACAGAAGGAAACTGACCTTTGACAAAATAAGATCCTCGTCCTTAGCTCTCACTTTACTTCCATCATCTACAACATCTTTGGTGTATGTGGCATAGCATGGAACTCGACCAAAAAGAAGCTCACAGATAAGTTGGAAACAGTGAAATGGATACCATTTGTTAACAAGACTGGGCGACAGATATCGACGAGCTAGCGTCCGCGTGTACACAGTACCAACCAACCTGACATCCACATCCTGGAAAAAGATATAACAGACATGACCGTCAGTTAATGGAAACCTACCTGTTCAATCACGGCAGAGTGGGACAAATTTCATTCACGCTAAAATATTGGCACTGATACCCAAAACTGAAATAGCACAGTAAGAACTGAACAATATTTACTCTAATGTTTCTCTGGTTGTGGAGCTTTCTGACTCAATAACAAAAAAATGTTTTTAAAATACTTGGTTAGTTTGCAGATATCTTGTGCTTTCCTTTACTTTCAAAGCAAAAGATGGCAAAGATGACGTAAAACAAACAAAGTTAATAGACAGCACTAAAATGAAATACAGTCAAAGCTCCACTAACAGGGCAACTCAGCGAAAAAAGAGGTTTAAAGAGGGTTTAAAGGCTTAAAGAGGTTTTCTGTACTGAATGAGTTCAACGATTAATACAAACACACAGTAGTAACAAAATAAGTTACCATGTCAGGAAGAGAAGTAAACATGAAAGATCTATCCACAGCAGGTTGACTCACATCAGACAACCACTCCAGCACAAGTTTAGCCTGGTGAAAAAAAAAACACGAGCGACAGAAAAAAAGCCTATTGGCTGAGAGAAATGAACTGAGTGGAAAATGTTTTTCTAACACATCGCTGAGGCCTGGGTCTATGTCAAAGAACGGTTACGTAAGAGGAAGGGTGGACCGTTGTTTGGATCTGGTAATCTTTGAAGCTCGAAGTCATCACAAAAACGGAGATTGTTTAACTCAAATACAATTTTATAACATTCGATCAAGGAAAAGAAAAAAATCCCGATCCTATCACTCAGCGACGACCAATGCAGGGCTTCACAACGGTCTTCGTAAGGCATCTCGCCCCTTCGCTGACCTAAGGCCAACAGTGAAGCTCTTCTCTCTACTTTTTCTAAATGACAATATCTTTGACATGGCTCCTACATGTAGCTCTGAGGGACAAGTATAGAAACAAGCATATTGTAAGTTACACTGGCGATCGTTGTTCCTGAGTGAATAAGCTAGCCATTAATGGTTTGCTGTTGTAACATTGTTCAGATTTTTCTCCAATTTTTTCGCGGATACATAACCACTCAGTCAAAATTTCCTCGGCCTACAACAATACGTTTACCTCAATGAAGGGTTTAGTTTACTTTTAGGTGATGAAAGTAGAATCTTACCACCACTGGCCCATGATAGTCGAGTCGGAGGTTAGTGGACTGGGAAGTAGAACAGCTCCCGACTGCTGACCAGCTGAGACTGCGGAATGCAGTAAGGGTTGGGTACCCTGTGATGCCATACCGCTGACATGTTTTAGGATCAGATGAACAATTGTGTATAAACAAGGAAGCACCTACAGAGAACCAAAACATTTGCATATCAGTGTCCAAAGCAATCCTGCAACTACATTATAGGGGCAACTTTTTACAAAGACAAAGGATGTTCTTACTGTGATCATCCTTTTAAACTGGCGTAGGAATTAAAGTCATCTTAGCTATGGCAACATTATTACGGCAGTTAACACGAAATCACAGCTGTATTGCGACTGTACTATTGTAATGGTGAACTGCGGTGTCGTAATTGTTTGCCACGAAACATAATAAATGTGATCAATGGACAAATTGCATTCGCGCGTTTTTAAAAGCCAGATAGGAGCATCCCGGGTCAAGTTATGAAAAAAAAAAAATGTCCGGAAGTATGTTTTTGCGTTCTTCAGGAACCTAATTGTCATACGATTCCGAACTGGTACCAAACATGTTTTATCTTGGGCCAACAGTCAGTATGCCTCACTTTCAGAGGACCTGGCCCCAGGTAGTTGTTCATAAGCTGGATAGCGCTTTCCACTGGATAAATGACTATCCAGTGGATGAGTATTAGGGAAACTAGTTGCGCCATGCATTGGATGGAGATTTACCCAGTGGATAGCATTATTCACTTTTTGAACAATTGGGGCCAAGTGAATATCTCAGCAGTGAGATGTAGTTACAGCAGACCGACAAGAAAAAGCAAAAGGTCGGACAACACATACCTAAATACTTGGCATCTACTGATATCTTTTCGATTGTTGGCAGAACCTGCACACAATAACTGCATCCATGTATAAGAAATACAACCTGTAGAGGACAACAAAATATTGTACACAAAACTAGCAACCCTTTAGTTAAAGCATGATGGCTGTAGTCCACGGGCGGACCAAGTACTTGTTTTAACTCTGTCTTTTCAGTCACAGAGAGTTAGTCCCTATTATCTGACTCCTTTGGGCGGAGAATTGTCTAAGAGGGATATTCCGTGCTGGCCCCAATGCGTGTCTTTCGTAAGGAGCTGTCTGCAGTATTACCAAGCAACAAGAACGTTAAGAACAATAAGTCACCTTCTCTTACCTCGTTAAATGCTAGTCTATCACGGATAAGTGCTCATCGAAACTTGTGATGCCGGTTATTATCACTAACGGAAATGCACATATATCAGAGACAGCACTGGGTCGCACTTGAGCGCCACAGAGAACTTATGCACATGCTTCTTAAACGACCATGATTGTGAGAGTTTTAAGACCATTTGCAACTTTAGCTGAAATTGCCATTCAATAGACTTACGATTTAAGATGGACCAACAGGCCCGCATTTTATCGTTCCTCTTTAAAAACTAATGATGAACCTTACACTTACCAACGCTACCGAAAACAACTCACGAGACTGTTTCTTTGGAAGTGCAGTATATGACTTCACTGGACCAACCGACTGTTCAATTAAGGAGGCCCACGTCTTGTCATTCACATAATTGAATTTGAAAGGCTTTGAATTTACATTTCCACGAGCCCTCACCTATTAAATGCATTTAAACATCAAAATTAACTGCAAGTATGACATGTATAACAGAGACTACTGTAGGAATCCCATATAAAGTATTTAGTATGTATTCACTCTGAAGACGCTGAGACTGAAAATCTTGTCAAGCGAAGCCTATTGTATTTTACTGTTATACTCTCTCCCCAGCTGAGTTTCTACACGGGGCTCCCTGAACATTTCTCTTACTCAGTATATTACCTTTATCTCAGTAATCTCTGATTTAAATTGTCGTTGCCTGAAATACTAATATTTACTTATTGTCATTTGATATTGCTTCACCGGTTCATCTTTTCTTAGCTTAATCTCTAATCTCTAATCTATCAAAACACTTGATCGAATTTCTAACTGTAACCACCTTAATACTATGTATTGTAATGACTCTTAGTTCTTCCCCAACCTTGACTTAACTGTCTTAAATAACTTTGCTATTTTTCTATTGTGGTTGATAAGCTGCAGGATTTGAATGTGGTCGTTAATATTGATAAACATTTCAAGGTGCCTCACGAATAAAGCCAAAGGCATCTCAAAGAGCATACCAGTTTAGCCAAAGACAGCTAAAAAGTATCTAACCCAGTTTAGCCCCGGGCAGCCCAAAAAGACTAATCTGGTTGAGTCGCAGGCGGACGAAAGAGACTTACCCAGTTAAGCCCCAGCAAGCCGAAAAAGGATCACCCAGTTTAGCCACAGGTAACCCATAGAGACTCACCCAGTTTAGCCAAAGGTCCCAACAATGTCTAGTCCAGTTCCTGCACCAGGAAACAAGTTGCTGCTTTTACTACTAATTCAGACCCAGACCCACCTTAGTATGCCATGAAGGAGGTGGTAATGCTGGTCCATACACCAGACTATTCTGCTCAAACCCTGTCAAGCCTGCAAGAGTGCTGTTATCCTCCATAACACAGACATCTCTGGCTACTTCAAAATAGCACACATTCTAGTATCAAGAAAACATAATGTCACTGTTTCGTCGTGAATACCCTATTAAAATACCATGATATGTATCACGCTGGACATACACTGCAAGAAAAATAGAGTTCAAAAGAAATGTCCCAACATGATTGAAACAATGTATTTCTTCATATGCCAGACTGTCAACAGGCAAAAGTTGAGAGTCTGGTAAAATATTTAGTTCTGAAGCTAATACTTTGGACAATTATGAGCAAAATGAATACTATTTTCTCTGACAGGTACCCTCGAGTCTTTGCTTTCTCTCCATGGGTTGTAGTCTTCATTCTCATCATCATCTGAACGTGTGGATGGAATCAGGCTAACAAATAACTTCTGTAGAAAGTCGTACAGCAGTAGAGGAGTAGGGACATCTTTATCGAACACTTGCTGTTTCATTACAAACTCTGTTTGTTGAAATAAAACGTTCAAGATTTTCAACCACTCATTGTAGGCTTTTTAAAGTTGTAAAAGGTCTTAATTGCCTTTTGTTAATCATGCTGCTGCTATGGAGTACTTGAAATGTTTGATTTAGGTTGTACAAACAGTTTCGTAGGCAAAAAATTAATCATGAATCTCAACCGTTTTTAGAAAGAAAGGCTTGCTTAAAAATTTTGTACTCACTTTGTGTAGTTGACCCTCTCTCTTGCCAAAAAACAACAGTAAATGGTACTGCATACACATTTGATGCATTGACATACCTTGAGATTACTGCAGAAAATATATACAACAAACATGTTATACTGAGGAACAGCTGGAGCTGGCTATTGGATTTCTCTGACAAAGGAGATGGCATCTTTCTATACAAGAAGCTTTTTAAGTATAAATCCATAAAAATACAGATTATACCTATTGTCACTTAAGGAGAGAGCCACACTCGTTCTGCTACTTTAATTGCTCATAAATGACTACTTATTCAAAGTGTCGCAATCGTCTAGTCAAAACACTATAGTTGGAATCCTTTGTAACAACCATCAACCGTAAGCAAGCATCAAATACTGGCATTTTTGGGTGGCCATCCAGGTAAGTTTCTAATGGTGGTGTTCCTGTTTCCTAACAAATCTTTCTTAACTAATGATTGAAATCTTACATCCATTTTAATGATTGCTTCATAATAGGCAGCTTAAATGAAAAACATTCCTTACCTTGTGGATAATCAACAATATTGAGTATTCCAAAGCGTAACGATAGTCTCATCCTTGTAAAAGTGTCATAGGAGCGATGGAAGCCATTTAGGTAGTTGAGAGTGCGGGAACTTCTTGGAGAGAAGAAACACACAACTATTGGTGGCTGTGGATGTTTTGTTTCCAAGACTTCACTCATGAAATTGTCCTGTTGAATAATAATGGCATTTCAGAAGGACAATCATTAAAAACTCATACTGGGCACAATGCTCCACTGACAAGTTCAACTGTATCTTCTCAACCTGACATATCAAGAATGATTACTTAAATGTGCAACTGGAGATAAAGACTATGGAAGAGACTGTACTGTCCCTAAAATAAATAGCATTTCAACGCAATACCCCAGCTAACCTGCAGCACATAAAATAACACGAACAGCTAACAATTTAGTGGTGTCCTGCAACCAATTTGCTGTCCATTTCAATCGCAGGTGGTGCATGTCAAGGCCAAGAAAGGGACTGAATTGTCCTTACAAAAAAATTACCCTTTGGCTTATCTAATACCCCAGCTAGCTTGCAGCACCTAAAAAATAAATCAGCACTTCACTGACAGACCACCTTGGAGGTTTTGGCAAACTTTTCAGCCCTGTTTTGCAATTTGTAAACTGTGACATTGTTTGGAAAATGTTGGATTTGTGACTATACTTAAGAATTAAGGAAAAGTCCTCAATCTTAATCTCTTAAATTTGAAAAAATCTGGGAAAAATATGAAGTTAAATTGACAAATTTGATGTGTAGACTAAGCTAAAACACATTTGATTGCAACTGAAGCTTTAATTAGGAGAGACGACTAGTCTGATATGACGGTTTTGTATGAAACCCTGATCAAATAATTCCAGAATTTCTAATAAAACGAAAAATTATCTTATTGTGCCAATAAACCAGTTTAACAAGGGGAAACTAGTGGGTAATTCTCTGCAAAACAAAACAAATCCACTCCGAGGTATCTTGACATTTTCTTAACTTAAGTTTTGATTAAAAACAGCATCCTGTATTTTTGTTTCATTCTGTCTGTTTGCAGGGGGCTTCATCACATTATGATGGCCATGGAGTGGATGCCAGACTCCAAAGAAATATCTAATTGATTTTAGTGGGTAGTTTCAATTTCTCAGAAATCTGCACTCAAAATGTTGCTTTGGCTTCCGTTTTATAATCTCGCAGAACTGGATTCCAAGGATATGAACCTGCAGTTACATTCAGCATAGGAAAGGTTCATAAAGAGCTCCGTCAAAACAGCACTAGAATCTGAAGTTGCATTAATATTTCACACAGGAAAAATTTCTTTTTAGTATTGGCAAAGTGCCTTGGACATCGTTAAGACCAGGAAACATTTAATCCCTGCTCAACTGAAAAAAACAGCAATGGTGGTTTTTGACAAACTTCTCAGAACAGTTTTGTAAACTGTAAGGTCTCCAAAATTTAGAAAATGTTAGCTTTTTGATTGTATTTGTGACAATGAAACGAGCAGAAGTAAACGTGGTGTACATACTTATAATAAACGGTAGAATTGCATAGATATGTCGATATATTAGACCATAAGCAGATTCACTGTCCTGGAAGGACGGTCAATCTGCTTATTGTCTAAGGTCTTATGCTTATGGTCCAGGAAGCATAGCGTCACAATAAGCTGAATAAGCTGATGTAACGATTGTACAATTGCATGTATGTATAGGTGTGTGTCCGTGTGTGTATGTATGCTATGTGATAATTATTGTAATTGTTGTACTTTAGAATAAGTGAAATGAATGAGCTGTCCAGGGAGACCTTATTTGCTGTTAGGACGAGCTTGGCTCTTGGACACACCGTAAAATTTTATATTTGGCTTTTCTTTGTCTGTTTTGTATTTCTAGGCCACATTAATTTGCTCTTCTTTTTGTTATTTAACACAAAAGGGCACAATTCTGTATTCAATGCAGACCTAATGTAGTACACATGTGGGCCCCAAAAAAGTTTTCTTGTCCTTTTAAAATAAGAGTATTAAAATACTCTTATTTTAAGGTCTGCCATTGCAAAATAACTCCATCCGAAACATCTGCAATGTTTTGGCAAGTCACTGTGTATTATTAGACTTACACCTAGCCCTTTAACTAAATGTATACTGACCAGGTTTAAGTGGTTAGTTTGGCTGTGTAGTGTGACCAAGAGAATCTGAACTCTCATTTCTTCCACTTCATGGATACCATGGAGTACTTTTAATGGTCTCTTTGTTTCTTTCCATTCTAAGGAAAACAAGTAGTTATATAATTAACATTCAACCATTTTGCTGATTTTTTGAAAAACTGTAAATTAGCAAAATCTCAGAACAATTTCCCTACGCAATAACAAAATTTGATTTTAAAAAGAAGCTTAAAGAGAACTTCACCTAAAATGAAGAAGTTGAAACATTATCAGGCAATCAGATGTACAAGTATAATTGCGAATCAAGCTTTCATAGGACTGACAAAAATGCAATAAATTCCTCTCAATGTCTGCACATATATTTTATATAACCTATTATAAATACCATTTACAAAGTTATTAAGGCTAACCTGAAAATAGAGGAATAAATTAAGGAAGCACCCCACCACACCCTAAAAATAAGCACTTGCTTCACACTCACCTTGAGAATTAAAAACTATAACAGCAGGCTGCTGAGTGACATTAAATGTCTGCATCATAAATCTGCCAATAAAAAGTAAAAATGCATGAAAACTGGATTTGCAAACTGAAAAGATATAAATCTGGGACAGATACAAAACATGTGCCCCTGGTCCATGGACTACCCCTGTGGACCTAGTCCATGGACCCCTTCATGTACCCAGTCCATGGACTACCTCTGTGGACCACTCCCAATATTTGAAGATGAATTTTACTGGCTAGAGGTCTCATTTAAGAACCTTAAAATAAATGAACGAAAGTGTGTCAAATTATATACATTATCAGGATTATGGGCTCCTTGTATTGGGCACTTGTTCAAATTTTTCCTGAATTCCATCTAATAAAATGGGTTTAGTTTAGTCTGCAAAAAAAGTAACAATATTTGAAGGGAATGGCAGGAGAGTAAAAAGGAAGTGGTCTCCTAGCAACTTTATACGCATTGTGTGACAACACAAAAACACCTACATGGGGACTAGGGAGGAAGAGGTAACGCATGATGTTTGAATACCCTCCTCAGACTTCCCTTCCCTTGATAACCCTTGGATACATGTATGTTTATTTACAAAATTACCTGCATAATTATTTTCAAACAATTTATTGGTTAGACGTCTGACAAGCTCTATGGACGTAACAGTTATATGCAGGTCATTTTCAGCTTGATCCATAAGCAGTATAAGCAGCATAAAGTCTGGCAGGGGTATACAATGCGAGGACACACAAAAAAAATCATCTGTGTACAGGTCTAGGACACTACTTCCTCCCTACTACAATATTATTACTCTTTCACCAAACCAAACCGAACCCACGTATGGAATTTAAGAAAATTTGAACAGTGGTATAATAAAAGGAGCTCATAACTTAAAAGCCATTTAAGGTGCTTAAATATTCATTTAGACCTCTGGTAAAATTTATCTTTGAAAATTAGGGGAGGTCCACAGGGGTAGCCCGTGGACTGGGTCCATGAAGAAGTCCATAGTGTAGGTCAAAGGGGAAGTCCAAGGACTGGGGTCTACGTTTCCTATACGTCCATAAATCTGGCTGGTTTCTTCAGCCTTGTTAATGGAATGTATTGTAGAATGCATATGCGTATGCCATTGCATTTCCTTGAAGCCTGAGCAAATTGCTATTTATGCATATAATTTTAATTATCATTATTAATTGAGGATAAAAATTAGCAATAGCAATGAATGATGTTTCGATGACTCCATGTCGTCAGTGTAACTGACGGGATTAAGAACTGCCTGAATTTGAAAATGATGACATGGAGTCATCGAAACATCATTCATTGCTATCACTAATTTTTATTCTCAATTGTTTTTCCAAAACCTCCGTTATTAGAATTATCATTATTATTGTCATTATTATTATTATTACTATTGCAAAAGAACTGTTTAATAATAAAAAATAAATTCAGGTAGAGCCACACAGTGTTAATTCACTCGCCAGGTAACCTAATTTACACTTACAAGACAAACAAATGACTGTATGAAAAAAATTATAGTGGGAAAAATACTGAATTAGAAACATGTAGCTATTAAACATTATAAATTATACAGAATGCTTACTTCTCATCGTCACTAAAAGGGATGACAATGAAAGGTTTTATGACTGCTTTCTTCCATCTTTTAGTCACCTAAAAAACCAGGGATTATTAAAAATAATTAGGATGTCAGATAAATGAATTGACAATATACATGTATGATTCACAATTATTTACTTGGATATTTTTAGTCTGTAGATGCATCTACAAGTTGTTACACGAACAATGCGTTACCCTAGTTGCCAAAGGCTTTTCATCTGGAGTTCGGGCCTCTTATAATGACCTTGACAAAAAACCTCTGGGCAAGGGAGCCATTCCTCTAATTGCATTGAGCCAAATACAATCAGGACTACCAACATACATACGAAACTACTGAAAACATCCAGAATGTGGATGTTTTGGTGTTTGGCTACTTAAACAAGCTCCTAAAGGATGTTACAAGTATCAAGCACTGGGCTTGAGTGAGTGTGACAATCAGAGTGTTATTCAGGTAGGCAACTGTTGCTGGGCTATCCTACACACTAAATCAAGGTGCTCTTTGCCACAGGTTTTTTGTCCCATCATTGCATTAAGATGCCCTAAAACATACCCAGAGAAACAGTGCCTAGCAGTGAGTGTTTAGCACGAGATGATATGGAATGCATTTTGTACAGGGGCAGATGCAGAGAATTCTTAATTTCTGAACATGTGCTTACCATTGGGACTAATGTTTTAAGGACAATCATTTTCTCTTGCTTTCCTGAGTTTTGATAAATATTGTAAAAAAGC